TCTCTTCAACTCTGGCGTCTCGGATCCCGGCTCTCTCAATCCTTCTGTCTCTCGAGCTGGGCCTGGATGCTTGGGGTTAAATGGTGCAGGAGCGTAGACGCGGAGGAGTCCCCGGGATTTTCCACGTCGCTGTCTCCCCACCCACACCCCAGCCAGGGGTCCAGGTCCGACTGACCCAACCCCACTCTTTCTCTTTGCAGGCAAACTGTGGGTGACCGCGCCTGCGAGGGACTTTGCCATCTGTCCACCAGGACCTGGGGAGGAAGAACCAGCAGCTCCCCACCCCCTCCCCCTCCACCACCATTTTGGATACTCCGCAGGGACGTGTTTTGGGGTTCCCACTGACTTCCAGGAAGGACGCGTGCCCTTCTCTGACCCCTGCGCGGGCGGCCACCTGTGTTTGCCGTGGTGAGCCTTTGCCCATGACCCTGCGGTGCGTCGAGCCCTCCGTTTTTTGCCGAACGGCAGCCACGCGTGCGAGAGGGGGCGCCTCCCCAGAGACCCGGCTGGGGGCTCTGCTGGCGGGGAGCGCAGCTGGGAGGTGGGGACGAGCTGGGAAAGCGAAGAATGAGATGGAGAAACGTCCCCTCCTTCCCGTCCCCGCCTCAGAGCAGGGCACCGCGGAGAGGATGGGTTCTTGGGAATGCGAAAGGAAAGCGGTTCTGGAGAGACTCGGGCCTGAAGGAGGGCGCGGGAAGGGCTCCTTGGAAAATGCCCCTGAGGGCGCTGGAACCTTTAACTGTTTGCCGCGCTGCTCCACGGCTGGGGTCGGCACTCGGACCGGACCCGAGCTGGAGAAAGCTCCTGGCGCCTTCCTTCCCGCGGCTGCAGGGCGGCGAGTGGGTGCAGCGCTGCCCGCAGCTTCTGCCGCATCCGGCTCCCGGGCGGAGCATCCGCCGCTGCCGGGAATCTTGGCGGCCAAGTTCAAGGACGAGGAGTCGCTGAGCGCGGCCTTCGGGGGGGTCCTTCAAGACCTGTCCTGCGCTGTGCGCGGCTCGCTGTAGCATCTGAAAGGAGAAAGGAGGGGGGGGGGGAATAATTCTGGCAAACCTTTCAGGCTTACAACATCTCTGGATCCTAAAAGCTTACGTTTGGGGCAAAGTTGAAGTTTTGGTAGCGTTAGGAAGAGGGGACTCTTTCCTCACTCGCGGTGGTGCTCTTTTCCTGCGGGCCATGTGCTTTTCCCATCAGCTTGGAGGGACCGGCAGATTCGGGAATCCGAGCAATTTTTTTGAGGGGGGAGTATTGTTAAAACTTCTTAAATGCAGAGTGCCTCTAAGTCATTTTTTTTGCAAACGGAACGGGCCCGGAGATGGTGCAGGCAGATCATATGGGGATTGCTGGGGAGACCCACAGACAGTTGGAATTGGGTTTGAATTTGGGCAAAGTGCAAAAGATTACAAACTTGAAATGCTAATTATCATTTGGGGTTTCCCTCATTTCTCAATGACTGATAAGGAAGTTGTAATTGAAGCAGCCACCAGAAGCTGTTGTACCTAGAACTGCGTTTTTAAAACAAGTAAATAGCAGTGCTTTCTAGGGCTTGGAACAGAGATGCAGTCATGGACAGATTTGGGGAGACCAGGGGGACACCAACCATCCAAAAACGGTGCTTCTGTTTTTCTCTCTTGGAATTCGTAGAGTTCAGTTTTCCACTTTTTAAGGGCAGAGCTTTTATTTTTACCTTCTGATTTATTTCTAAATTACTTTAAATCTTTTATTTCACTTGAGTGGTGCTGGAAGCATCATGCTTTGTCAGCCAGTGTGTCATGTTGCAAATATTCTTTTGTTTCATTCAGAGAAAATCTAGATACCGTAAAGAACAGCTCCAGACGATTACTTAAAAAAACAAACAAACTGGCTCACACTTTGTGTTCATAAAATAACACGGACCCACATTTTCATTAAATTTCTACCAAAAGTATTTATGGTAGCTTCTGGTAAACTTTCACACACTTCTTTTTAGAGCTAGAAAAAAAAATGTTGTCAAGTACTTGCCCCGTTTGAAACATTATAATAACAATTTTACCCTCTTTTCTTTTTCTTTTTGAACAAAACCCCAGGTTGGTACTGGGGAAGTATGACTGTTAATGAAGCCAAAGAGAAATTAAAAGAGGCACCAGAAGGAACTTTCTTGATTAGAGATAGTTCGCATTCAGACTACCTACTAACAATATCTGTTAAAACATCAGCTGGACCAACTAATCTGCGAATCGAATATCAAGATGGGAAATTCAGATTGGACTCTATCATATGTGTCAAGTCCAAGCTTAAACAGTTTGACAGTGTGGTTCATCTGATCGACTACTATGTTCAGATGTGCAAGGATAAGCGGACGGGCCCAGAAGCCCCCCGGAATGGCACTGTTCACCTTTATCTGACCAAACCGCTCTACACATCAGCACCGCCTCTGCAGCATCTCTGCAGACTCACCATTAACAAATGCACCGGTGCCATCTGGGGACTGCCTTTGCCAACAAGACTAAAAGATTACTTGGAAGAATATAAATTCCAGGTATAAGTGTTTCTCTTTTTCTAAACATGCCTCATATAGAGTATCTCCGAATGCAGCTATGTAAAAGAGAACCAAAACTTGAGTGACTGCTCTGGATAACTACATGGAATTCTAAGAACAGCTGAATCAATCTAACCTACATGTGTGACTAGGTAGCTAGGTCAAGTTCCCTCAAATATGTTCACCTGAAAAATGCTTCCCTGCCTAAGGCTAAGACCAGCTGATCCTTTTAAGTTAAAAATTAAATGTCCCAAGTAAAGGCCGAAGTAACCTTTTGATCAGAATGCCTTGCCTTTCTGAGGTCCCTTTTCTCTTTGGTGGAAGGTCCAAGCACCAGTAGTAGAGAAAGGGAGAAAGGACTCCACGGAGGAGAACTGAAGAAGGGGAAGGAACCTGACAGGCTTAGCTTCCATTTTATATGCCTGGTGATCCGAGTCTATTTTGGACATGTGATATTTTGCATTCTGATGTTCTTAGGGGTTTTGTTGATCGGATATGCTTGTGAGTATTTATCCTTCATTTTATGCAATTAACCAAGTCAACCAAAAAAAAAAATGACCATGAAATCCTGTATTTGTCTTTTTACTACATGTATGAACTCTTTCATGTGAATGCGTACTGTAGTAATCCATTTTAAGAGAGCCTTACTTCAGAAATATTTCAAACTGGTGCAAACGGAAAAGACTTCGTCTTTTCCATTAAGGCTAAAGACAAGAATGTCATGCTATACAGGTGCAACCCCATCCCGGTTAATAAAACCATGTAGATATAGACATTTTACCCTTTGAAGTATCTGTGTCCCAACCTGTTGCCATGGATTTTTTTGGAAATGGCTTTAGAAATTTCCAAGTTGTCCTTGAATTGTCTAACTATAGACATCAGCAGTTGTCTCCCTTCTACCATGTAGAAAACTTTGACTTAATTTTCTTCCAGATATAAGGGGATACCTGCCTGTTTTTCAAAGTGTTTATTTACTGCTGTTACTATTTGATTAGAATGTATTAAATAAAAAAAAAACCCTGACTTTTACAAGTTGCGCTTATATTACTTTGAATCGCAGAAAACTTATACTTTCATGGTAATAGAGGGTTGCCATAAAAACTTATGTCAAATGGAATAAGCCAGATATTCAGCAAGAAGTAAGGCCTTCCTTGCCCTTCTCTGAAGCTATGGGTCATATTTGCCCTTTGCGTTTTGGAAAGCATGGTTTAGAAACTACTAGACTTGCCAAGTGGCCCTTTTACAAGTTGAGCAGGCATAACACTAATGCCCTTTGTATTTCTAAAAACATGGTTTAGAAACTACAAAAACTGATATATCCTAGTCTTACGGGTCAAATAGGCATAATACAAAATAAAGTTTTATGGCCATTTATCATTTATTTTTTTGCCACATAGGCTCATGACTGTTGCAAATGTACCATCTTTTGGTGTCCGGATATTATTCATTTGCCACCTTAAAAAAATTTTCCTGCATAGCTACGTATAATGGTGTATCACTGGGAAGGTGAGCCTAGCATATTGTGTGTGTCCCAAGTGAATTATGCTAAGACAGAAGCATATAATTTGTGCTTATAAGTTCTAGCAAAGCCTGCTTAAATATTTTCATGAAGCTCTTGAGAAATGGTTTTGTGCCTGTGTATTCAAACAGCAGAGCCAAACACGAAAGATCGCTAAGTGTCCTTAGGAAGAATTCATTTGTAGACTAAAAGTTAAAGAGCCTATACCTTTAGGGTCTGGTCTATGATCAGGGGTTAACCTTTTCATTAAGATGGTCAGGTTCTGTGCATTCCTTACTCTTTTTCTCCACTGAAAACAGTTGTTTGGTGTGGGATATTTGGCTTCTCTGACCAAACTTCCACAAGGCCAGTGCCAAAGGGCTTTGTGGGATTTGTTCAACATCTTGCGCACTTCTGTTCTCATTGTTTCAAACACTCTGCCGTTATTGAGAGTTGGACGCAGTAGTGGGACATGAGTACCTGTGGAACTGTGGAAAGTTCTGCATTATTGCTAGCAAGTAACTATGAGAAAACCAGAGGACAGCAAAGACACCTCAGTGTGCTGTGGAACTGTTGCCTTACATTTCAATCTTCCCTATTTCAAGTACATTGATAAGTATTAGGGGCAGTCTCTCTCTCTATGTGTGTATATATATATATATATTGTTTTTTTACAATTACTAACATTATTTATTGAGTTTATTCTGTGCCAGACTCTTACTCAGCACTTTGCATGCATTATCTCATTTAATCCTCACATAGACTGAATGAGCAAAGTACAGTGATCACAGGAGGTACACTTCTAATTTGTGAGTGAGGAGGCATTCCAGGAACATCCTGGCCCTTTTTATTCTTGGAGAAGAATTACGAAGAGCAAATTGCTGCTATTTCTACATTGATCCAGACGAACAAGTAAGAGCAGGCTATAAAAGGAACCCTCAGCATTTTTATTGCTGCCTCAACCGGAAAAGTATAGGTACCGTAATTAGTGTTGTGCTCTGTGGGATTTCAGTCAGCTGGGGCCAGTGGTTTTTCTCCTGGTGCAGGGGTGGGTCGAGAGGGGGTTCACTGCTTTACTTGGTGGCTGGTACATAATGCCAGTTACCAACTATTGGTAACTCCATTTTATAACCCATTGAACAATAAAGTTAAGATGTACACTTGTCTAAACTACCCTCAATGGAGACAAGAAAAATACCCAGGGATCTCTTTCTATGCAGGGCAGTTTTGGACATTAGTGAGGGTATGTATTGTCGTTGTTATTGTTGAAGAATGTAGGATACAGGACTTAACATGTCCCCTCAAACTTAAAGTACTTTGATCTGAGTTTCCATTGGGAGCAGAGTTGAGGCAGTGGAATTTTTCATTCTATCCAAGTGGGAACTGGGGGCTGCTTTTTAGGGAGTTGGTTTTTTGTTCTGTTTTGTTTTGTTTGCTTTGATTTTAGGGCCTTGGACTGTGGAGAAAAGGCAGTTCAACTTATGAGCTGAAAGTTCTTTTCTGGCGTGTCAGTAAAAAAGTCTTGACTTCATAGTAATTATGTAATCCAAATAGGTAAGAGAATGGGACAGTTGTTTTGGAGTGTTTATTTTCTTGGGAAGGATTTTCTCTGCTTTTAGAAAATTGTACCCTGGTAGAGGGTAAGAGACAGGGACGTCATCAAATAATCCATGGGATGGAATGTCCTGAGACAAGGCTGTGTTCTGCTTGCGTTCTGCTCGGTGTGGGTAGGCACAGGGCGGCGGCGGGTGAGTGGCTGTGGTTACATCGAACAGCTGGGCTCAGGCCGCTCTTGTCTCCCAGTGGGCCTTTCTAGCCTCTGGAGCGAAAAAGTGATGTCATTCAATCTCGGCCTTTCATTTACTAAGGGGCCTTGTATTCTCCCACTTTTCCAATCACGTATTTTAGTTTTGTCATTTTACCTGAAGAAGTCTCTCCGACCCAGGGAAGTCAGGAAATTCACATGTATACGCACACAGGAACACACACATAACCCGGCAAATCAGTGGCAGAGTCAGCGAACGCATATTTTAACAGTTTAGTATTTGTAAAAACTGCACCCTTCTACTCTGTTTAAAATGTCAATATTCTATCTTGCTACCCGGTAAGCCTTACAGTTCTTTTAACATCACACTTTTCTTCCTCTGAAATTAGCAGGCCTTTGGAATACTATACAGGATAATTCCAATTCTTGGCCCCTTCCACCCCGCCTCAAATAATCGGCTTCTGCTGGGTTTCATGATGGCTTGACCCACATTAGAGTTTTGCATTCATTATAACTCGTCAAGGTTTGTAACCTATTTGCTGTTTTAACGTCTAACAATCTGCCATCCTTGCTCTTTTATGATCTCATTTCTGCCCCTGCCAGATGTGACTCACACACGGCCATGTCCGGGTGACTGCCCACCTCTTTTCTCGCTCATGGGCATAATGGCACAGTTAATTCCAGCCTCACTTTCTCCCTTTTGTGTCAATAATTTGCCCTTTTAGTTTCTCTGACACAGCTCTGCTGACCATATTATACTTCAGTGAAAGAGGGTCATTATATTCTCCCTGAGTTGGGTAACTGAATGATTTAGAATACCTTGAGATTAAATCTGTCTCCTACTCTCTTTGATTCTTTTCAGATTTTGAAACAAGTAGCCAGCCCCAAATACCAACGACACTTTTGTTATGTGCATGCTTTAATTTTTTTCCCTCTAGTGTCAGGCTCCTTCTTAAGTTGCAGTTCATTTGATTGGAATGGAAATGCCCTCCATTCTTTCCTTCTGCTTGTCTATATGTAAGAATGATTCTGTGATAGTCCTGTTTCACTCCTACGTAGGTGTGTGTGTGTGTGTGTGTGTGTGTGTGTGTGTGTGTGTGTGTATATATATTATTCCCATCTTTACATATTTTTTTCTATGTGGCTTGAGTTCAGGTTCCTTAACCATAATACCAAAGTCAAGTAACAGCTGTTGCTACGGTAGCCTTTAACCCAGCCGTGGGCAAACTACGGCCCGTTTGAAATGAATAAAACTAAAAAAAAAAAAGACCGTACCCTTTTATGTAATGATGTTTACTTTGAATTTATATTAGTTCACACAAACACTCCATCCATGCTTTTGTTCCGGCCCTCCGGTCCAGTTTAAGAACCCATTGTGGCCCTCGAGTCAAAAAGTTTGCCCACCCCTGCTTTAACCCTTTGCGGTCCAATGTTATTTTTGGAATTCAAACAGTCTGGTCCAAATTAATTGACGGGATTGAATGTTGAACTTTTTAATGTTCTTATTGCTCGACGTTGGACCTGCTCCTAGCACCTGGTCTGTTGAGTCAGCCTCGAGGTTGGACCGAAAAGAGTTAAAAGCCCTGGAGTCCCTAGCACCTGGGTAGCAAGTTAGCTGAAATTACGGAGCAAAGCTGGATATTCCTTTCTACCCCGCCTGAAGCTTTGCCAACAAGAGGTCGGATCTGACACGTGTCATCACAGAGAGGGGTTCACGTCAGTAAATGTTCAGTGAGCCATAAAAATAAGACTGCTTTTACAGACGTCTCCCTTGAAACTACCTCCTTAACGTAGAGGAACTCTGACATGCCCTAGAGATCAGGCGCACAGTTTGTGAACTATTATTCATGTGGTGCTGCCTCTGTTAGTAACAGAAGGGAGGGGAAGGCAAGCCAGAGTCCTAGAGAGAGGGAAGGAAATATGGCCAGCTGCCTTCCTCTTCTGTCTCCGCATAAATACCACCCAAGGAGCCCATTTCGGTGGTGGAGAGAGTGAGACTTAATCACAGAACTCCAGAAAATTGTTCCCCAGTTTCCAACCGTGTTAAGATAAAAAATTTATATTTTGCTGAACAGTTTTCTGTTAGTTTGGTATGTTTTTTCCTGTTTAGATATTGGTCCAGAGGGCTGCTAGATCTTTAACATTCAGAAAAATATTTTCCATGTTATTTCTACCCAGAGAAGTTGTTTGGTTTCCCATTTTAACCTCCTCTCCGCCATCTTGATAAACTTGACCCTTCTTGGGTTTCCAGCATAGTTTATTTCTCTTCTTTGCTTTTTCCAGGTTGTGGTCATCAGTACTGTATTTGGTCAGAAAGTGTGTTTGCATTTTGTATATTTGACTATGGCATTTGCTTTTAGTGATCTGCAGTAATAGGGGCAGAGAGCACGGGGTAATTGAAACTCACAAACATCTAGCTAATACTGGTTTTAACTTTCTCCCCACTCATTCTCCTTTGCTAGAACCAGTGATAGAAAAATTACCTGCCTCTTTGTTCACTCACTTTATTTTCCCTGTCCGTCAGGCAAGGGGGATGTTAATAAACAACAAAGTGACTAAAACGATGGCAAGATGAGAAAACTGAGGAGGCTGGAGAATCAGTGGTGTGCTGAACTCCTGGGAGGCAATTATTAAATACAGTACTTAGGGATTTTGTGAGCTAAATCACTAACTCTAGGTAAATCATTGGTAAATAGAAATCAGCCATGATGGGAATATTTACATTATGGAAGGTGGCAGACACTACAAATTAATGTATCTATCTAT